TCAAATCCAGCCCGTAACTGGTCCAAAGATTAAATTTATGATCATAGGTTTTGTCAAACCAAGGTTAGCGTGAATTTGAAAAGATGAGTAAGGGATTAAGGATTCAAAAGACAATTGTACCTCTTAACATGAGTATGAATTTGATTGATCAAAGATAAAAGTTATTTACAGGACAAAGAGTTATTAATAATTATGATATATCTGTGAGTATTACATATATTTGTGTTGCATACTAAATATGGGTATGGACCGGATTGAATGTTAAATCCCATATTTGCAAGGATATATGTTTTATTTCCTCTATTTATAGGTGGATGCCAATGTGAATTTATATTTTGTGTGATTTGCTGCTAAGGAGTTATGTTAAAAAAAAATGCAGGCTTCATTATTTTTGGCCTATTTTATGCTCTGTTTAGTATGATGGAAAAATAGAAGGATAAAAAGTTAGAATAATAGAAGGTTAGAAGGATAAATAAAACATCATGTTTGGTAATAAAGGAAAATATGAATGATAGAAAAATGGATGAATTAACTTTCTTTTCAATTCGCAAAAATCAATCCCTCCAAAATCGGAAGAGAAGTGGATGAAAAGTTAATTATTTGTGTTGAGATGTATTTTATTTGTTTATATATCTTTTTATATATACATATATTATGTATACATTAATTTCATATAAAAATACAATAATAAAATATGTATTTATATATATATTTTTTAAAAAAATTTAAAAGTAAATTTAAAAGTAAAAAATAAAAATAAAATAAAATTTTAAATTAAAAAAATATATTTTTTTCATCTTAATTAAGGGTGAAAATTTTCAACTCAATACAATGACATGACTTAAACTCGACACGAATTTTATGACACAAACTTGATTATAATTCGACACAAATTTGAAAATGACTTGACATACGAACAAAAAATATAAAATGTTCATATTCAGTTCAACTAGTCAAACTCAAATTGACACTATCAACTTATAACTCAATACGACACAATTAGTTAAATGAGTTGAATTAGATTTGATTAATGTTCGATACAAACCCGTAAGGATGTCAGTGGACCGAAGCTGGGGCGGGGAGTGTAGTATTCATCCCCGTATCCGTTTAAAAAAATTTTGTTCATCTCCGGTCCACCCTCATTAACGGTTATAGTTTTGATCCCGATTCCCGTTCGTGGGTAATTTTTTAATCCTCATCCCTGTCCCCGCTTCCCTCATACCCGCCTAAGCCCAAGCCCAAACTCAAGTAGCATAATCTAAAATTCTGAATAAATCCAATATTTTAAATAATCCAACAACATTCTAATATAGTCTAACACAACATAATATAGATTTTAAAATGTAAAAGTCCAAACAATATAGTATTTTATTTAGAGTGTCGTTGGATTACAAAAAGAGAAACGAAACTATTAGAGAGAAAAGAAGAAAAGGAAAATAAAATTGAACTAAAAAAACGATAGCATTACACTTGAAGTTTCGTAGAAGAATTTTTGTTATTATAATTTATATTACAGCCACAAAATGTTAAAAGACGAAAACTTAAAATTTTGCTAATTCAATAATTCTCTTTATTTCTTAGTTTATTCTAACAGAGAAACTCAGCAACCTCTATTCACAATATTTCTACCTACAATGAAATGCAAAATTATCTTATTCTCTCTTATCTGTTTTTAGAGCATGATCAATTCAAACTTCTAATAGTTTCAATTAGTAAGCACAAATAGAAAAAAGAACAATCAGGAAAAAAAAATTGATAAGATTACCATATAGTAATGTCACTCTTTAGTTTGATTACTATATTTCTAGATTGGTAATTACAATAAATATGTTTAATTAGAACTTGGGAGTATATATATATATATAACAGGTAGCGGGGGTGGGGGTAAGGGTAAGTTTATTCCCGCTTTCATCCTCATACGGGTATCCTCGTATGCGTCCACCATCTAATACGTATAGTCTATCTCCAGTCCAAACGAGGCAGGTTTGGACGAATACCCGTTTTTTCTTGGTTCACTGTCATCCCTACAAACCCGTTATAATTCAATACGAATCTGACACGACACGACTCGATTATCACCCTTAACTTTAGCCCGCACAAAAAAAAATTAGTTATTTTTATTTTTCATCCATCCAACCAAATACAAAAGAAGGAAAGTGTATCATTCATACTTTTCTTTCTTAAAGGATAAAAAGTGTATCCATCTTACTGTTTATCTTTCTTATTTTTCATCTTTTCTAACAAACGAAACATTAGTGTGATAGTGGATATGACATTTGATTTCTGTTATTAGTTTTTGTTCTTTAAATTATAAACCGGTTAACCAATTTTTGAGTTTTTATTTTATTTTTTTATGTAAAGGTGACAAGCAAGGAAAGGCGTAAAAAAGGGTATTGAAGTCAAGTCCGTTGTTTTCTGACTTTATTTAACTTACACCATAGTTTCTTTAAGAAGTATGATTTGAACCCCTGCATTTCAATGCAAAAGCGCTTTGGATTCAAATTACAATTTCCAAAAGAAATAATAGATTGATAAATAAGTTAAAAATCACAATAGATGACAAAAAAAATTCAAAATAACGGTATTTGTTTTTTTTTTAAAATCACGTCTTCGAGACGAACCAAGCCTTCATGTCATCGTTTCACTGGCACTGCATTTTCAATTTTGCTGATTGGATTGGTTTTATCAAATTCTTCCAAACTCAACCCCCGTCTTTGTGTACATGAGATTCATAGATAAATTTTATTCATATTTGTGTTTGATAAATAACATAGACACGTGTGGAATTCATGAATTAATCACAATTATAACTAAACATTTGTCACGTAATTGACTAAATTGTCCATTAGCCATGGTTATAAAAAATTTTATTACAGATAAAAAAGGTCATTTGACGTAATTAACCTGAGAAGGCATATATAAACTCTGGTGGATTTGCCAACGCCCATGTAAATGAGTTTAATACTTCGGACTACTTACGGGCAGGAATTATAATCTAGATCATATATAACCTGGCAGAAGCCACAATTGACACCTTTAGGGTTTGTTTGGATGAATTTTTAAGAAGTGTTTGGATTGACTTCTATAAACCCCTTCTAAACTCAAACACCTTTTTTCAAAGACGGGATTTAACTAGGGGTGTTCAAGTTTTTATTTGGCCACAATTTACTATTCTACCTGATTTTACTCTACCCTACAGAACGGCTAGTCGCAAAAATCAGATAAGAATGCGGAAGAGTTTTTAGTCTTTTGATTAAATCGGATAAGAATGCGGAATATCCATCAATTTCTGCATTCCTACCCTACCCTACCTTACCCGCAAAAAATATATTTAACTTTTTTATATTTTTTTTAATAATTATGAGAGTATTTGTGTGGTATAATATATATTATAACATTGTTATTGTTGTGAATGTTTGAGTTACAAAAACATGAACTTGTTTTTGTGTTTGTTACATGATTTGTGGTAAACTGGTAATCTATTATAGCAATTATTATTTTAATGTGTTTCATATGGTTTAAACTTAAAATAATTGTTATTGTATTTGTGTAACAGTTATGATGGATTGATGTTCATGCTTTATTGTATTTTATTGTAATTGTTGTAGTAGTTATTTCAGTTTTAGTGTTATTGATTTATTGTGTTGTTAAATTTGTGCATGTTATTTAATTGAATTGTTAAAATGATCCAAAAATTAATAACTACAAAAGTGTTTACCCGACTTCCTACCCGATTAGTCGAGTAGGAATACCACACCTGATTGGATAGGTTAAGCCAAGAAAAAAAAAATTCACAAAGTATCGGGTAGAAAGACGAAAGATTATATTTCCTATCCGTAAGATAGGGTGAACACCTCTAGATTTAACATTTAATTCAGTTCATACTCATGTTTAGTACGCAACACATACACATGTAGGACTTATAGATATATCATAATTATTAATAATTATTTGTCATATAAATGACTATTTTACCCTTGATCAATCCAGTTCATACTTATGTTAAAAGATATAATTGTCTTTTAGATCTTTAATCCCTTATCCACCTTCTCAAACTCGCAACCCCGTCCCCGGGTTTGATGAAATCCATTATCTAGAGTTTAGGTTCGGGTCTTGTAGCGAGTTGGACTTGGCAACCCAAGTTTCAAATGTTTACCAAATCATGAATTTTGTGTGTGGTTTGGACTATTTATCCCCAACCCATCTTCTTAAGTTCACTTCAAATCATTAGCCCTCTAATGAGTCTATCTTCTGCCGAATTGTGTTCCACTCGGCACTTTATGTTTCAAGACCGATACTTACCTCATATGTAAGCCACGAGTTTTACGCATCTCGGTAATGACTCAACCAAGTCATCCCATTAATCATTCCACAACGTCGTAAATGACGCAAAGATATAATTTGAATCTCTCATCAAGTTTAATTTCTTTTATGTGTGCCCGTGCCCCTCAACCGATGACTGATACCAAGATATTGAACACATTTTATTATCAGAAAGGCAATCCCTTAAGTCTGGAGTGACAATCCAAATTCAAACAGAAAGAAAGACTTCAGTATTTGATTTCCATGGCTCGATTCTGATCTTGACATTTCTGAATATAAATCTTCTTCTTTTTCTTTGAACAATCAGACATAAGTTCAGATGGCCAAACTTTTTACTTCACAAAGAAAATAGCAACTCCCCCCTCTCCCACAACTAATTGTACACATACACATTACGCTATCACTTCAAACATTACTGGAGTTGTTGAAGAAAAATAAGTAATTAAAAACTGACTAGATTGGCACCTCCAATATCCAAATTCCGACGTAGATAACTGTCTTTAACCGTATCGGAAAGGGAATTAATCGAAATAAGCATAGGCTAACCCGGACACCCTTGACCGTTCAACCCAAAAAAAATCCCAGTACAACTTCCGACCATGTGATCCAAGTGACTCCAGAAGCAACAAGCTCAGACAACAAAGACACCCAGTGTAGAGAGAAAAAGAGAGAGTATCTCACTTGCCATTGATCCTCTCGATGACAGTAATAAGGCCATGAATGCCAACCTTTCCATCTCCATTAGCCACCATTCCTGAAAACAACTGCTTAGTCAATGCAGCACCAGGCAACACGACTATACCATCATCCTCCTTCTCCCCAACATCCAAACCCATCCCCAAATCCTTCACTATGTACTGGGTAAACCCGCCAGGCCTAAAGCCCCTCCCAATTATCCTTTCCCCAAACAACTCCATCACCATTGACCCTGCCGCCCCGCCCCTCACTGCCTCCATCCACTTCCTCACATCCAACTCCGTCTTCTCTGCAAAAACTAATCCTTCACTCAACCCAACGAAATTAGTCCCCCCGGTTATCTGATTCGCAATTTTACAACTCTGCCCACATCCTCATTTCCACCGGCGAAAATAGCCAACTTGCCTTCTTTTGCCCCAATGTCAGCACCAGACACGGGAGCATCGACAGCCCAGAAATTCTTGCTGCGGGCAGTCTCAAAAATTCTTTTAGCGAGTGCCGGATCATTACTAGTGGAGTCCACAATCACACCACCGGGGTTTAGGCCAGAGAGGAGGCCAGTTTGAGCGCCTTGGGATTGGAGAGAGAGAGATTTGGAAGGTGTGCGGGCATAGATGGTGACAGTATAACCGGCGGACAGGAGGCGGGAGGCCATGGCTGAGCCCATGACGCCTATGCCTATCCAGCCTATGCGGGTTTTGGAGGGGGTTATGGGTGTTAGATATGGAGTGCTCATCGTTGGTGGACAGAGAGAGAGAATCAAAGAAAGAACTGAGCTGGGTTTTAATGGATTGAAAATGGGTCGAATTCGGAGTAGAGTTTTTGCGGATGAGTGTAATAGAGGTCTTTAAACCAAGCAGTACAGAAAGCGAAGGCTTCCTAGTTTCCAGACAATGACATTACCAAGAAACAGACCTTGTTAACGTCGTTCATGGCGAATCCAGCTACGACTAATGATATTCTCCTTAAAACCCTACGGAAGAATTGCACTTAGACTCCTAAGATTTATCACTTAATCAATTAAATTCCTTAATATTTAAAATATTACACACAAACCCTTACGGCATCATGCATTTAGACTCCAATATATGTTAGTAAATTATATCTAAATCTTTTGAAGTTTATAAGCTTGTAATATTTAGGCCCCTCATGGTTAAAATATTATACTTAAACCAAAAATATTTTAACTAAAAATAGAATATCAATACGAGCAAAAAAAAAAATATCAAATATTTTAAATTTTACAACCAAAATTTATATTTTTATTACGACATTTATTGAAATAAAATTAAAAATAAAAAATTAATTTTTTTAAAAAAAAAATCATAATTAGAATATAATTATACTATCTATGGGAATAAACTAAAAAACCAAATAATTGGTCAAAATATAATTAACGCAATATATTCAAGCTTTAATTTGAGTAATTTAATAGTTTAATTTGATCGGATAGTATAATTCTATACTAATTATGATTTTTTAATAAAAATTAGATTTTTAATTTTAATTTTATTTCAATAAATATCATAATAGAACATAAATTTTAATTATAAAATTCATATTCTATTAGAATGACTTAGACCTCTTGTTTGATTTTTTAATTTTATTGTAATAAATAGTATAATTGTATATTAATTAAGATTTTTTAAGAAAAAATTAGTTTTTTATTTTTTATTTTATTTTATTAAATGATACAATAGAATATGAATTTTGGTTTTAAAATTTAAAATATTTGACATTCTATCTTTAATTATAATATTTTTCGTTTAAGTATAATATTTTAAACTTGAGAGATTTAAATATTATACGCCTATAAATTTCAGGGAGTTTGGTTATAATTTACTAGCGGATATTTAATGGTAAAGATATAAGTATTACGCATGTACAAACCTCAGAGAGTTTGTATATAATATTTTAAATATCAAGAAATTTGAGTGATTAAGTAACAAATTTCAAGATATCTGAATATAATTCTCTCAATCCCTAAACATACCACAACACTCGGGGTATCGTTCCAATCTTAGTAACTCATTGGGTTAGGTGAAGGAATTTATTGGATAAGTTACATTTTACCTAGGGGTGTAACTCAGGTGGGTTGGACAGTAAACCTTAATCCAACTCTAGGTATATAATCTTCAACCCTACCCCTAACCCTAACTCTAACTCTACATAGGGTTGAGAAATTCAACCCGAGCACTGGCCAAGTTTAATTCGGGCGGGCTCAGGTTAAATTCGGGTTAATGATTTCGGGCTGATTTTGGGTTACTTTACGGGTTCAATTCGGATAGAACTCAAAATAGACTTGTTGTTCTAAACCTAGTACATATATTACATAATATTCACCTAAATTAACAACCAATATCTTCAACCAAATTTTTAACTGTGCTAATGCTAGAACAAAAATAAAAATGAACGAGAGAGACAGAGAACGATAGAACAAAAATAAAAATTATATATAATTTTTTTTTAATATGTCGGGTTCGGGTTGAACCGGTAAACCTGAGACCTTAACCCGAGTCAAAACCAAATTGAATTCGGGTTGGAATTTTTTTAGTCCAAGCGCAACCCAAGTATTAAAAACTCTTACCCAAACCCTAATTTTTTCGGGTTAAAATTGAGTTGCCCGATCCAAGTTGTACCCCTAATTTTACCCTTTTTAATTATTACCCTTATTTTATTTTATACCCTCAATTATAAATTTTCTCACATTATATCTTAAAGTATTAATTTTATTTTATATTACTCATAATAAACAACTGCTAACAAATGCCTATTACACATTACACATCAAAAATCAAGAAATCATTGTTTATAACCACCTATTAATCATTTAGGTTTCAATTAAATCACAGACTCACCAGTGAGAGTCAAATCGAGCACATTCAAATATACGACTCGCCCGAAACTAACCCCACACCACTGAACTAACCGTATTAATTGTAAATGTAGTAACAAGAATGGATTTTGAAACAATCAACCTTCTTCGTCAGCATACTTGAAAACAATATGAAAGAAATTACGATAGTGAAGTTTAGAGGCCCTAAATTGGACTCTATATAAGATTCTTTCTGATTTATTTTTATCGGTGTGTTTGTTAATTCAAATTCAATACTTAAAATAAATGTATTCAACACTTATTAATTAAACCCGTTTGATAATTAAAATTTAAACTCTCTTAAGATGTTAAGTGTTCCTTAAAAATAAGCTACAATATTAAGTAGGAGATCCCTTACTTAATTCTGAAAATTAAAAACGCTCAGTAAAATCGTATTTAATAATACTTACAATATGACAATTATACCTCGAAATATTTTACAATTCTATTAAAACTTTAATTAGTCTTCTCTTTGTAACCTCTAACCTATATATTCTCCTTGTCGATTTTTTTTTCTCTCTCTTGTCTTCTGTAACAAAAATATACATACATAATTATAATTACACACACAAACGTATTGATTGCACACACACAATTACACATAGACATATGCACTACACACACACACATTGTTAATAAATTCTAATTTATTATATTTTTTCAATATTATTTGACTATTTATTAGTTATTGTTCTTTTTTTTTTATCAGATGTGTTGTTCACTTATTATGTTATTCAATTTATTATTGTTTATTTATTCTGTTATTTAGATGTTATTTATTTATTTATTTTGATCAAATATTTGTTAAATGTAGACTACAATATAATAGTGATTATGATTTATGTTATGAGATATTTTTAAATTATAGAATAAAAGGATAAAACTGAAAATTAATTTATTTTCAGATGTCAACTCTATGTGGTTATCAAACTGTTTAGTTCAATTCAGTACTTAAATTTCAGTGAATACAAAACAATCCACAAATTCAGCATTCAACTTTCAGACTTCAGTTTTCAGTTTTATCAAATACCAGCTTCATCATTGAACCATCCACAAATACAAGTAAAATCTACTAAATCCCGCACAAATACATGGTGGGCGATTTAAGCAAGTGAATTGAAACGGATTTGAATCCCGTCTCTACTAAACCAAAGCTTTCTGAGAATAATGTTCGTCATCTAGCAAAACCATTTACTGAACTTATGGCCAAATTAACGGCTGCAAAGCCACTCTAATACTTTTTTCTTCAATTTCCTTGCTTGGTGGATCAGTGCCCCCAATGCATCATAAAATTTAAGAAAACCATAAACTTTGCCTTGATCAATGTTCACAGTAATACAACTTTTTCCAAAAATTCTATAAAGAAATAGTAGTTTCATGACTTTACGCATAATAATGTTTTCAATAAGAATGATAAGATATAATATGACAAGGCAAAAATCAACAGTAGTAATGCTATAAATGATCATGGTTTTTTTATACAAAGCAGATCGATTTAAAATTGCAATTGTCCTTAAATAATATGGAAAACAAGATATAAACCTTGCTCAAATTTGGTACCTTTGTGGTGAAGTACCTTGCCCAGAACCTTTCACACCTTGGAAACAGTAAGCAATGCAATTAATTCTGCATGAACATAAGAAGTGGGAACTGTTAACATTGATCAAAGAGAAAGGGAAGAAAAGAAAAAGAATGTATTATTCATGAAAAATTAGTCCGTAATACACAACTTTAACTTAGAAATACATAAAGTAACCCTTATATAGTAGGACAACATAACATAAAGAAAATGCCTAAACTACCCTTATTATGAATACTCTAACACCCCCTCTCAAACTCATGATGTAGTAGAAAATATCAAGAGTTTGCCAAGAAAAAATCTAAAACGTGCTATGGTATGAGACTTCGTAAAAAATCTGCTATCTGCATTGTAGAAGGAAGAAAGGGGAGAGTGATGGTGCCCTGTTGCAGACGATGATGCACAAAGTGACAATCAATCTCAATGTGTTTTGTGCGCTCATGGAAGACCGAGTTATGAGCAATCTGAATAGCACTTGTGTTATCGCAGAACATAAGAGTAGGAGATGATATCGAAATGTCAAGATCAGCAAGGAGCCATCGTAACTAAACTATCTCAGCTGTAGTAGATGTTATGGCACGATACTCAGCTTCAGCAGAAGAACGAGCAACAACAGTTTGTTTCTTGTTTTTCAAGAAATAAGAGAATCCCCAAGAAATAGGCAGAAACCAGTGGTAGACTTGCGATCCATAGAGTCACCAGTCCAGTCAGCATCAGGGTAAGCCCTGAGTTCCATAGAGGAAGAGTGAGGAAAGAGTAAACTCTGATGTAGAGTACCACAGAGATACCGAAGAATGCGAAGAACAGCAGCCCAGTGAACGGTGGTAGGTGAGGAAACAAATTGACTCACAATGTGAACAGCATAAGAGATATCTGGACGAGTAACTGTAAGATATACTAAACTCCCAACAATAGTCCGATAAAGAATTGGGTCAGATAAGGGAGTACTGTTAGACGAAGAATAAGGAACATTGAGCTCTAAAAGGGTCTCAATTATCCGATTATCTAATAAACGAGCTCGTTCAGTAACATCTGAAGCATATTTGAACTGAGAAAGAAGATATCCTTTATGTGAGGAAACAATCTCAATACCCAAGAAATATCTAAAATATCACAAATCTTTCATCTCAAAATGGTCCTGCAACTGGGTTTTCAATAAGCTATGTCAGCAATGTCATCACCCGTAATAATCATATCATCAACATATAGTAAGAGAATAATATAGCCTGAGGAAGTAGACTGTAAAAAGATAGCAAAATCATGGTCACTAGCACGAAAACCCAAGTCACAGATAATCGAAGAAAATTTGGCAAATCATGCTCTGGGAGCCTGTTTAAGACCATATAAGACACGATGAAGGCGACATACTTAACCAGAACTATAAGATAATCCAGGGGAAGGTGTCATAAAAACCTCTTCAGTCAAATCTCCATGTAGAAATGTATTTTTCACATCCATTTGAGACAAACTTCATTGTCGAATGGCAGCAACTGCAATGACGGTGCGAACAATAGGCATCTTGGCAACAGAAGCAAAAGTTTAATCATAATCTAGACCATATTCCTAAGCAAACCCCTTGGCTACTAATTGAGCTGTATATCGTTCCACAGAACCATCCGACTTGATTTTTATCTTATAAACCCACTTACAACCAATGGTGCGTTTACCAGGCGGTAAAGGCACTAGCTCTCAGGCTTTGGTCTTATGTAAGACAGACAACTCTTTATCCATAGCCTGTTTCCAAAGAGGATCAAGTAGTGCCTCCTTGTAGGAAGAGGATTCAGATAGAGAATGAATAGAAATAAGGAAAGAACAAAAGTCAGAAGAATAACAAGTATTACTCTAACCAAACCTGTCAAAGGGGAGGCACTGCATCCGGAGAAGAGACAACTGGAGTCCTTCGAACATATTTATGCACAATAGGGGAACGAGTAATAGTCGACTCAGAAGATGAAGGATCTAACACAGGTAAATCACCAACATATGTGTCATGAGGAACATTAGTAGGAAAGAGATCAATGTATATCATGTCAGACTTATGCAATGAGGAAAAACTAGATGGAATTGAAAAGAATGGAATATGTTCCATAAAAACAACATGACGAGAGACATAAAGTTTATGGGTGATGGGATCATAGCAACGATACCCTTTTTGACCCTCACCATATCCAAAAAATACACATAAAACTGAATTGGCAGAAAATTTGGTACGAAGACCACTAAGGAGCAAAACAAAGCAGGTACAACCAAACATTCGTAACGAAAAATAGTTAGATGGCTTACCACATGACTTTTCAAATGGAGATACTCCAGAGGTGAGAATAGTAGGAATGATGTTGATCAAATGAACTGCTGTCAAAACTGCTTCCCCCCCAAAATGAGCTGGGAATATGTGCTGATAATAGAAGGGAGCGTGCTATCTCTAGAATATGACGGTGTTTTCGTTCTGCAACACCATTCTGCTCAGGTGTGTCAGTACAAAAGGATTGATAAAGTGTACCATCAAATTTCAACAAATCATAAAAAGAAGTAAGAGTATATTCACCTCCCTGATCACATTAAAAATATTTAATAACTGTGGAATATTGAGTGCATACCATGTTACAAAATGTAGTGAAGATGAAAAAGAATTCAAACTGATGTTTCATCAAGAATACCCAATAGTATCTCGTGTAATCATCAATAAATGAAACATAATATTTGGACCCTCATTTTGTAGGAATAGGAGTCGGTCCCCATATATCAGAGTGAATAAGATCAAATGGTGCAAGAGAACAAGTAACATTTTTATTGAATGACAATGCACTAAATTTATCCAATTTGCATCCACTACAATCAGAAATGTTATGACTGTCTAAACTACCTAAATTACCAGTCGAAGCTAAAAATTTTAAATAAGAATAAGAAACATGACCAAGACAAGAATGTCATAAATAAAAACTAGATGACTCTGGACTCAAACGAAAAGAAGATAAATCAACAGTAGAAGCAGCAGCATCAGCATCTGGGACATGAAGTTCCTCCAACACATATAACCCGCCCTTTCTACGGTCTGTCCCAATCAGCTTCTTAGACCATGAATCCTACACAACACAACCAGAAGAAGAGAAAAGAATCAAAAATTCAGAATCAAATAGTTGACTAACTGATAGTAAAATCAAAGTAAGTTAAGGTATATAACAGACATCTAAAAGTATAAGGTTTGAGGAAATAATTGTCCCAACACCAGTTAATGACATTTGAGAACCATTGGCAGCAAGTACAGATAAAGATAGAGGAGAATCAATAGATACAAATAAAGAAGAATCACTTGTCATATGATGTGTGGCACCTGAGTCAAAGATCCATGTAGTTCGAGATATACATGAAGGACCGAAGCTGAACGATCCAATAGTAGGAGAAACTGTGAGAGCACCAGATTGATGAAGGGAAAGAAACTTCTGTAGCTAATCTGTAAGCATAGGCAGGTTAGGAGCTGATGAGGCTGACTCATTCACTGGTGGTGCTACGACTACTGTATGATGATCTCTGGACTTAAAAATGATTGATTTTGAGACCCTCGTGCATTCTTGTTCTTCAACTTTGGACATGGGCTTTCCAGTGACCCTTTTTACAATAGAAGCTACACTCATTAGAAGCAACACGCCCTCGATATTTATTTTGGGAAGTAGAGGTTACTTTGGAAGGAACAACCAATACAGTCTGATTTGGCAGTGGGAGAAGACCCTTCCCAGAAAGGGTTTTAAGACGAACCTCTTCAACTAAGAGCTCATTAATAACTGCATCCACCGAGAGGAATGGGTGACGATGAAGAATGGAACCCCGAAGTCCCTCGAAGTCATCTCTAAGAGCCATCAAAAATTGCACCAACCTCTGTTCCTCTCTGAAAGTGCGATGTGTCAGATTAGTGCTCAACTCAATGAATTCAGTAAGTGCTGGGTGATCCCAGAAACCAGTCATAACTGAGTAAAATTCTTGAATGGTTTTGTCCCCTTGGCACGTATCTCGAATCTCATATTCTAGCTAATACCTCTTTGTAAAATTAGACTGAACAAAAAATATGGTCAAATAATCCAAAATTTCCTTAGTTGTGGTAAACTTGAATAGATGAACTCCAATTGTCTGATCAACTGAATTATTAATCCAGGTGATCATTTTCGCATTGTTGATATCCCAAGTACTCTTCAAATCAAAATAATTGTCTGTCTTATTATCAATTAAACCCTGTACAACACTACTAATATAATTTCACATGTCTTTTTTCAATAAAAAAATTTTCATGCCCAATAAATATAATTATCACCTATTAGTCTCGCACTGATGACTCGTACAGAATCAGAGTTTCCATCGTAGCAACAATTATACCACAGTCAAAGTCAAAGCAATCACAAAACCCAACAGCCCCTAAGAAAACAATACCACCGAAAAACAACAGTACTCAACAGCAAAGAACCCACTGTCGAAGGAAGCAAACAACCAGACTGCTGAAGCTACTGCCGAAGCCACACCTAGAGGACCAACCACAACTCAGCCAAAGCCACTTCCCAAATTCAACCACAAACCAGCAAGAAAAAGGCACCAGCAAAGCCACCGACTGTTCTTACGGTGAACAGTAGTCCGACAAAGCAAAACAGCCAAAATCCAACCAAACCTCAATCAAATGTCTTCCAATCACACAACCAGCTAGTGCACACCCTTAATCGCACCCTTTAGACCCGATTGTAAGCAAACAATTCAAGAAAAACAGCCCCAAATTCTAGATCAAAAAATAGAGCCGAAATTTTTTGAAAAACATTCAAAATTTGAAAAACCCTATCCAATGGCCTCAAAGACAAAAACGAAGCATACCATTGTAAAGTCCATGAAGAATCGAGTACGATAGTGCTCTCCCGACTCCAGATTAATGACGTCAGCAATGACATCAGTCCTAGCTTGATAACGTCAGCCCTAACTTGTTATGCTCTTCAAATTTATTTATTTTTAATAAGTATGCTGGGACCGAATGCTCTGATACCATGTTAACATTGATCAAAGAGAAAGAGAAGAAAATAGAAAGAATGTATTATTCATGAAAAACTTGTCTGTAATACACAATCTTAACCTAAAAATACACAATCTTAACCTAAAAATACACAAAGTAATCCTTATATAATAGGACAACACAACATTAAAAAAAATACCTAAATTACCCTTATTATGAATACTCTAACAGGAACAACAGTGGACAAAGGAGGGCGGCTCCGCCAATGTGATTAGTGAAGTTACCTTCTATTCAGACCAGTGAAGTTACCTGATCTGTTGATTCATTTTGCGAGGAATATCATCAATTGCTCAATCTCATCCAACCGCCATCTGTCAGATTAAAAATGGGTGATACACCACAGAAACTATCCTTCGACAACATGAACACGCTACACGTCAGCAGCATAGCCTTCAGGGCTGGCCCAGCATCAGATTCTTCTTTGGCCATCCAAAGAGGTAAGCTACAGAATAAACTTCCCTCAGAATGCCTTGGTCTTCAAACTTATTTCTCCATCTCACGAGATTTTAATGCTTTTGACACCATATGCTGCTTGGACAATATCTCGGTAATGAGTTGTCGCCCAAATATGTCTGAGTTCTGGAGAATTAGGTTTCTTGTTGACGAATCAACAACATAGCCTTGACCTGGCATCCATTGCAGCAACTGGAGAAGCAGTTCTTTCTTTTCGGGATGTGCAACATAACGAGATATGGCCATATGAAATACTTCCTAGACCATAAAATGCAACAAAAGAAGATGATTCTATGTTACGCAAGACAAAGATGCAATATAGAAGAGGTAATCGTTGTCCTCCCCCACCCCAAAACATTAAAAAAAAAAGAGAGAGAACTGGATTGCATTAAGTACAACTAGAACGCCAATTTCCAGTTTTGGCGTACAAGTGGATCTGAGGTGGTTGAAGGGGAGAAAGGGGAAGTATTTAGTGCCAAAGCCAATCAGGCTACCTGCATATTCATTTTTTCCCTGTTGTCAGATACAAAATTGCATTATATTTGTCTATAGAACCCAAACAGGAGATGCCCCAAGGTTCATAATGGTCAATTTTTAATTACTTCAAATGCTTTCTTCTTGCCACATCATGCATTTTACTTCAAAAACGAAATGCAGAAATGTTCAAATCAAATGGGTTATTCGTGATGTTTTACAGCAGTTGCGGACTCCTAACAGCACCCATACTCTCATGTGTCATATTCTCATCACGATGTAAAAGAACCCCATGCTTAAAAAATGATGCTCATATGCAACTTCTCTATATAAATAAAAATCAATTTATTACCTGATCTATCTTGTAGGCAGAACTGTGGATAGCTTTTATTACATCATTTATCAAATTTACATTGCCCAATTTCATAAATGAAGTTGCAAACTTCTTCATAGCAGGCCAAGATATAAACCTTGCATTGTCCTGAACAATAGTGATACTTAGAAGACAATAGTTGCAAAACCAAGCAATAAACTGATATAAGATTCTTGGATCAATATTGCACACCTTGACAACCACATATGCATCTTTGAGAAGTCGTCCAGCAATTAAAATGTGCAGAATCTTCTCATGAAGGGCCTGGCACATTGTCCTCTTGCTATATCTCAACATCTTGTATACAGAAAATGCTTCTGAATGGGCACCACTTTTACCGAGATGAAAAATTAAGGAGGAACAAAGTTCCTGCACATAAACAACCAATAAGAAACTCTGGAGCTACAGTCATTATATTCCATCTTGTTTAAAACGGATGACACAATAGTAGCATGACAAATCCTATGCTCTCTAAATAGAATCTTTTGTCTTCTTTCCACAAATACCCCAAAAAAACCTCCAATCCAACTAGAACCTGGTTTTAGCAAGGAACAGGCATCAAGTAAATTGAAAATAAATAGGGTGGTAGACACTTTGTTTTCACATTAGGCAAAACTGCAATACAGTTTCACTAATTTTGAACTAAAACATCATCTTTTGAAAATATTGAAAGCAAAAAAGGTCATTCTTGTGATGGAAAAATTACATTTTACTGAAAGCGTCATCGATAAAAAGCTGTCTTGTAAGTTAAACCTTGAAGAACTTTCAAACAGAAAATGTCTTCCAACATCTGCTTCTAATATTATATTATGACACGACATGAGTTTGTGCTTGTTTGAAAAAGTTATGCAGAAGATCAGCAAACTCAAGCCACATGAGTGGGTGTGTCTATAGACATATATATAAAATACCCTTTTTTAACTCTGCTTGTGTCGGGTTTAGTGTTGTTGCGTTTCATAACTGACAGTCAACAGAAAACCTGTCTAATCCAATATGAACATGAATCTTATTGGGATAAAGCTTTGTTAAGTTGAGTTATATAAGTTACCTCTTTTGAGAAAAAAATATAGAACCCATTGGCTGCAGATCGTCCCATTTAACAAATGGTTCAACACAAAAGCAAAGGAAATAATTGGCTCCCACTATGTCACGAATTAGATAAGTAATCATCAGTAGTAAAAGTTCTTTATCTCTTGCCAAGCCCCTTCAAAGCAAGCCGTGTGATTTGCATAGATAGGAAAAAAATGCATTTTTGCCGGTGGCTCCAAGAAAATCTTGGTCAGATGAGCAGAGAAGAAATTAAGAATCCAAATTCACAATGTAAACATCCAAACCATATGAACTGAGGTAAGCCACAGCTCAAGTAGTGTACCATACTGTCCCTTGGTCTGTCCTTACGTTGAAGCCAAGCAGCACTTCGTTCAAGATTAGTGCCATACAGCAATTTATAGCATTACAACTTTACCTATTTCTTTCCCACAAGAAATACATGACCAGACTTGGGAGAGGAAAAAAAAGGATAACCAAAACTTGGCAGGGCAGAAGCATGCAATGTTCTCAAGTGGTAGAGCCAGGTGTTTGGTTTTGTCATGCATACCAAAAAGGTCGTAGATTAACTAATTGATGCACTCATAACTGTGCAATCCATGTCAAAAAGTTTAAAAAATGGATCACATATATATATATGCTTCTAATATTATATTATAACACAACAACATAAGTTTGTGCTTGTTTCAAAAAGGTATGCAGAAGATCAGCAAACGCAAGCTACATTAGTGGGTGTGTCATGTGTGTATCTACATATATAAAATACCTTTTTTAAACTCGGCTTGTGTCGGATTTAGTGTTGTTGCATTTCATAACTCACAGCCCACATAAAACCTGTCTAATGCAATATGAACATGAATCTTATTGGGATAAACCTTTGTTGAGTCGAGTTGTAGAGATTACCTCTTTTGTCAAAAAAAAAAAAAATTGCTTAAAATGTTTGCAAGGCCTCTTGTGTTAAGCACCGGCAGAGCCAGTATAGGACTATGCCCACCCTCAAACTTTCTTCCTTACCATTAGTTACATATATTTCACAGATATCTTAAGGATTTTTTTTACTTGCCCACCCTATTTGTATCAATTATTAGACCTATACGATAGTTACGACATGTTTTCGGCACGTTCTTAAAAGTTTTTGGATATATTGATGTTATTTTATAATTAGTCTTTTTTTTTTCTTGTTTACACTATTGAATGCTGATTTTTAGTCATTTTGTGTTTAAAGAATGTTTAAGCGAAAAATGTAAAATATGATACCATGGTGGGCACTTTACTTTAACAAATTAATTTTTTTTTATAAATATTCTTTTTTTTTCTTGTTTACACTATGAATGCTGATTTTTAGTCATTTTGTGTTAAATGAATGTTTAAGCAAAAAATGTAAAATATGATGTAAATGAATCTTATTATATTAATTTTCTTCCCTCAATTTGGTAAAAAAAAATTAATTTGTTAAATTGTGGCTCCGGCCTTGGTGTTAAGAGCATCGTGGGGCAATCCAACCTTCTGTAATTTAGGCTAATATGAAAATTAATATAGGACATAATGTATTGTTTTAGTAAGTAAGGCCCTCATCGAATAGATAGCAGACCAGGGACTTTCATACATTTGTGTCCGAATGGGTGGTTCTTAATTTTTTTTCTCCTTTTCTTGGGTTTCTTTTGCCAGGCTCCCAAACCCAAAAGGGGAAGGGATGAGATGTATGCCACCCTTGGCCCTACAGCTCTGCCCCTGGTGCACTCATTTGCAAAGTCAGAGTTTCAAAACTACAAAAGGCTACAAACCATTGTTCATACGAGAGAGATCAGCAAAATATTCCCCCCCCCCAATCAAAAAAAAAAAAAAACAGAGAGAGACCATTTGTAAGGATGTTACACAAAGTGGGGCATACCTCCTCTGGTTGGTGGCCTTTCCTGTGCATGTCCTCCATAGTGCGATAAGCAAGCATGTACAACCTCTCCTTGCAGAAATATTTAATCAAAATATTGAAAGTATTCCAATCAGGACTAATTGCTAATTCATCCATTTTCTTCATCATTTTCATTACGTTCTCCATTTCTCCTGCTCTGCAGTATGCACATAGCATTGTATTCAAAATAACCACGTCATATCTGTCATATTCGGCTTCAAAATCACAAGCCAATTGCTTTGCTTCTTCGAGAAGCCCACTTCGGCAGAATGCTGAAATCATAATACTGTAAGAGTAGCCATCTGCAGGAAATTCCAGCAAAGAAAGTCAGTAACCTAGATATGAAAAAACAAGCATTGTCCATCCCATCTTTAAAACATCACAATGTTAAACAATCAAAAACACTGAAAGCAAATTTATAAACCTCTAAATAGGCCATTTTTGGGTGTCCATTTATCTGACAATTACATAATAACACACATGCTGTACTGAAAAACACAACAGAAGAAAATTAGTCTCCATATCTGCTTTAACATAAAAGCAGGAGTTACCAGCTGGGTTCTTGAGCCATTATCAAGAAATGAGTACAACTTATAAGCATTTAAGTCAAAGCTCTAAACCCTAAACCATAAGGAAGGAAAAAAAAAACATTCTAGCTCAACACCAGACCTCATCAGGCATTTTATGCATAGTGGATGATTGACAAGGGAATATGAAATTTGACATTCAAGAAGCTTGCTAGAAGGCAGATACTCCAAAAGCAAATATACCAGTTTTCACAGCTTTTTTCTTCATTTCATCGAATATTGATTTGGCTTCATATATATGTCCTGCCTTTGCAAGGCCATCCATCAGTAAACAATATGGCATCTGCAGTTAATTAGCATTTGATCAGCCACGGAAGGTTGCAACTGACAAAAACAGTTATGCCAGGGATAGCTTAGAAAGCTGCAACGAATAAATCATTGTTAACCCGGTTTCAGAATGTGAGACAAAAATCAAACCAATTTGATTAGTACCATATATGAAGGTGCATAAACATTTACCTAGGAGTTTTTTTTTTTGTGAAAAAGCCAAGGCAAAGCACAAGGTCTTAATGCTTTTGATGAAACACCTCAAAACAATTGGTATTGGATGAGCCAAAGACTGAAAGAGCAAATCTTTATGCTTACTCATGTTGGAAACAACCAAAGATCAATACTCAAGTTGACATAGACTTGTCCCAACTACATGGGGTTGGCTCCGTGAATCCTACTATGCCAATCTGCTTTGCCAGCAGCCTATATGCTCCATTAAATTTAAAGTTCCTATACCTTTCTTCATTACCTCACTATATTAGATTCGGTTTTCCTCTTCCCTAGGATTACTGCCATTCATTTTTCTAGCATTACCAGGTATAAAGAACAAAAAAAGAAACCAAGAATTTCATATAAGATGTATTGGATGTGAATGAAATACATTAAGCACCAGCCAATTTACCGATTGAGCATGGATTTCTAAAAGTGAACTTCGGTAAGGGACTCTTACATAATTATTTTATGGGCTACTTGTGTAATTTGGAAGCAATATCATTAGGTATATGCAATCACATATTTCACAAGTATATTTAGGAGATATAAATCTACAAATTCTTCCTTCTAAAGTGGGTTAAAGGGATACAGGCACAAGGTCTACCTCGTCTTCAGCATAGCCCAGAGCTTCTAGGTCCTTGAACAGTCCTCTTGATTTTTCAAACAAACCTCCCCTAACATATACCTTCAGCAAAGTCGTCAAAATAACCTACATGGCGTAGAGTGGAGGAAACTTTGTTAGTAAAAGCTTGAAAGCGTAAAAGAGCAATATCACAAACGGGGAGATAAAAAAAAAGGAAAAGGAAAAGGAAAAGAAAAAGAAAAAGTTTTAAGATAAACAACAAAAGCAAATAAAAAACACAAAAATCCCTGCGGCTGCACTTAAACCAAAGAAATGTTCTTAGATCAGCATTGTCAGTAAAAGCTTAAAAGAGTAATATCCCACACGGGGAGATAGAAAAAAAGAGAAAGTTCTAAGATAAACAACAAAAGCACATAAAAAAAGTAAAAAAAATCCCTGTGGCTGTATTTAAATCAAAGAAATGTTAGTAGATCAGCATAGAAATGTAACGTGTGTTTTGTGCACCAGATACATGTCGCAATGCACGTTTGAGCAATACTTCCATTCATATTCATTTTCCCTCTAATAGAAAGAAAAGGAAAAAGAAGGGACCTAAAAGAACAAAGAGGGCCTATCTCCAGAAATATTAGCAAGTCGGACCAAGAAAACATGTGTGAAAAACATATTGCAACAACTACAGAATGCACAGGCATGGATAAAATGTTTACTCTGGAAGTATCTAACATGTTAGCAAAAAAGAAAAGGTCAGATTGCCAAGGACCTCGCAGCTCACACTAATCTATCAAAAAAGTAAATATCTCCATGCCGTGGCTGTGGGGTTGGGGGCTGTCGCCGCCTGATAGAGGCAGAAGCAGGGGCCACCAGAGCTACCTGCGTCAAGTGTGTTGATTAAAGAGAGGAAGGGAAAATGAATTAGGAATTTAGACACCTAACACCACTGTCAATAATATTCTTGATTCGAATCCAACACTTTTTAATCTGGAAAATAACCCAACTGGCTCCAATGCAATCTTCTTTACACCTGTACTCGTCAACACGGCTCAACTCTATAAAGCATTGTTTAAACCATTTGAAGTCTGTCATAAACTTATTGCCCCATTCCACTCAGACTAGGGAACTGCAGTCCTATTCATATTTAATTCACAGTGCACATCGAATTCTCAGTCAATATCCTACAACATGCTTAAAAGTGATCCCCAGACTCTTCAAAACAAAAAAAAAAAAGATAAAATCATTCAGTGCAACTGCAACGTAGTAAACAGGTATTCTTGCAAACACAGTAAATGATGTCAGTCAGATAGTATTTCACCCAACAAATACCATAAAGGTTCTGAGTAATCATGAAATATATTCTAATATTACTAGAAAGTGAAACTTAAATGATCTCAACCTACTCTTAGGGATGGATACACAAGAAAATATTCTTCAGTCCACAAAGAAAGCCAACAACAGGATAAAAATACCATTTTCTTAGTTTCTGAGAGTTTTTCTATGAGGCCCTCCATAAGACATTACAAAAATTATTAAACCATGAGGTCAAGCATTTGAAGAGTTAGAGGAGTTTTAAATGTTTGAAAAAAGTTGAAGATTTAGAAAGGTCATCTTGACAATCTACTAGTCTTGGCAAATATTGGTATAATTATATAAAATGTTGAAATTGATGCCTCTTTTAGTTCTATTTTTCACTTCAAGGCAGGATTTGAAATTTTTTCCTTTTTTTATCAAGTGATGAGATTTTGTCAAACATAAGGAGGAGGTTGAGGAGAACCCATGTAGACTGAGTCAAATTTTATCATATCCAAAGCGTCAACCTACCAACCCATGTCCATCACATTCCAAAAGAGAGTGCTGAAGATGTAACATCATGGTTGCAATATTTAGTAAATTATGCTTACTGAGACATGATTGTATATTTTGATTACTCATGCAAAGGTTGTGTTTGGCATAACTTCTCAAAATAAAAGTGCATCTTAAGAATGTACTTTACAAAATGGACTTTTAACAAAAACGTTTTATGCTTGGTGGAACATTCATTGTAGAAGTACGGTTGAACTAAAAAAATATTTTTTATACCTCAAAGAATTTTTGGTGGTGATATCTAAGTGTGAAATAACACATACTTACCGATATTACCCTTATCAACCAAAAAATGCAACCTTACCTAAATTTCAAACACTCAATTGAAGTATTATAAAAACTATTATTTCTAATCCAGTCAAAATAGAACTACACCAAGAAATTATAAAAATCTAGAAAACAATTAGAAGCTTGGGAATACTGGAGATGACTTGCAATTGGTGGAGAACACGTGACCCATTTTTTGAACAGCCATATGTGGATTAGAACACTGTCTCTCGTGCTCTGCTTTCCCACGAACCTTTTTCTTTTCTCTCTCTATCTCCCCCCTCGAACAAGAACGTGGAACCCCTAACCATTTTTCTCTCTCTCTCTCTCTAATATTGCATTGTTTATGGGGGTTGAAGGAGATTGGTGGATAACAGAATCTGTTGACCGAATATCATTCGTCAAGCTGTTGCGAAGGTCTGTTGAATGCTATTATGCCAAAAAAATGGAACTAATCCCAGTTCCTATTCATATATTGTGCTTATATCAGTTATATGTATCTGAATCTCTCTGTGGATATGCAAATTAGTTCTTTTAGGGTTAAAATACAGATCATGCTTCGAAAATCAAGGTTAATATTGGAATACACTAAAATCACTTAAAAGATAGCATCTAAGTTCGCAAGAAGTGGAAACAAGCGGTTTTGAGAAGCTCCCTTTGCTGGCTTCAACAAATGCGCATTTGGGGGATGCACTTTTGATGGAAAAGTCAAAAGTCGAGACCACCAAACATTCCGCACATCTACAGATGGACTTCTATGCTAAGAAGTTCATTTCAGACCGCGCCGAACACCCCCAAAGTATTACCCACATAAACCATGGTTTCAACACTGCTAAATATACAAACAACAGAAATGTTCAGCAAAAATAACATCACCAACACAAGCAAAGTAGAAAATATTTGACTTCTTGGAAAACATTATAACAAACCTTATTTGGTACTAACCCTGCAGATTTTATCTCTTCAACTAACTCATCAGCCTTCTCATAATTTCCATCCATTGAATACGCATTGAGCAAAGAGCTGTAATGGAAAACATTTGGAGGATGACCTTCATCCTTCATCTGGTTAAAGTAGCTCTCTGCTTCTTTGCATTGATTATTTGATGCACAGACAGATAGAAGAATCCCATAGATTACACTGTCCATGCGCAGCCCATTACACTTGAGCTCCTGAACCAATTCTAATGCCTTAGCATAGCCACCCCTAGCTTTGGTGCAGCCTGCAAGTAGCTAAGGATGACAGAAGAGAGTAGTTTTGAAGATCCAATGAATCATCAATGCGAATTAATAGATAGCATGCAAAAACAACTTCATCTTTTCTGATAAGTTAAGATGTTTAGACAATACGTAATGACTAATAATGAGAACATTTTATTTCTCCCATAATTCTTGCAAATAGTCCATTATGCTCCTCATAAATTTAAATACCAATAGCAATAAAAATAATAATAAACCATTCATTCTATTGACCCTTCTTGAATATTCGTATCATTTTCCTGCTTATTGGTCATAACATAAGTTTACATGAATAAGTAGCAATTGTAAATGCTAGGGAACTTATACAACTTAAAATAACATACCGTACTGTATGTAACAATATCTGGTATTAGACCATCATGTTTCATCTGCTGAAAAAGTTTGATGCTGTTTTCAAACTTTCCATTCCTCACCAGACAACTAAGAACAGAATTGCAAACAGAGACATTATTCCTGGTTGACTTGTCTTTTATGCTATTGTAGAGTGCCAGAGCCTTAACTGAATTAAGGCTATTCCCCAGAAACTTTATATAACTGCTGTAAGAAGCAATACTAGTCTTTCCATTCTGCTGCATCCAATCAAAAACCTGTAACAAATCCCAACATGCAATATATAGCTGTTATCGCTAATTATAGGAAGGAAAATTACACGCACAAGTAATTTGGTCTATATAATAGTCAGTGAACTGAGAGAGAGTCATAAATTTACAAGAACGCATAAGCAGACACACAAACATAGAGATAAAGCAAGAGGAATATAAAAAGGATATAAAATCAAAGTGCTCTGTACAAGAATATAAGGAGAATACAAGTAGTCCATGAGTGCACAAACTTTTGTAATAGGTATTACGACTTTTTCTTACTTTTTGTTCCTTTTGATCTGGTATAGCCGTATAGGTCTAACGAGTAGAACAGTAATTCCAGAAGAAATTCACAAAATAAGGGTAAACATTGTCAAAGACATTTCATCCATAAACCCAGTGACAAAACAGTTATTCATGATATTTTGTTTTTGAAATTCTTCCACCAACTCTGTAAGAACTCTCCTTACAGCAGTGGATAAAGTTCCCTATTCAATATACCCTAGTTTCACAAAGTTCCTCATTCTACAAAAGAAGTAAACAGTTCTACAATTAATAAAATTTGACATAGTCACGACGAGTTAGCAGTAACTGCCACAACTTTCATTAATTAAATTTCCAATAGCATATATGATATAAAATCTCAACATCACAGGATCACACTCTTAAAACCACCACTGCATTTCAATTTTCAATCAGGAAGGTCCAAGGTTTTTTCAGTCCCAACCCATAATTGCTCTACACATCCACTTTGATGAAGCCAAGTAAAATAGATGCAATTAATTTTTTTAGGATGAAAGATTGAAGACCAATAACATATGACCTCACAGCTCCAGTGCACCCAAATATAGTTTAGTAAGTCAACTCAGTCAAAATTTTTGGCAAAATATTACAATTATTATACGAAAGAAACCTACAAGAATACATTGTTAAGTGCTATTCACATCTCACCGGTCAACATACATACATGATACAACAACTAATACAAAGTTAAAAAATTACTGAATATTCTTTACGTAGTTTTGTATTTTATGGTGCTATATCTGCTTAATTCATAAAACCAGTTGTTTAATACTTACACTGAAAAAAAGTTTGCATGCTTCTCTCAAAACAATTTCCATCTCAAGATTATGATCTGATTTATTTATTTACTTATAACAATAACACACAAGGCCTAATATGAAAATTGGAAATTGAATGACTGAGGGGGAGAAAAAGTAAGTTACATAGAATAAGTTTATCAAAGAAAGACAGACACAAATTAACCCAATCCCAATAAACTATAAGCTACAAACCACAACCTAAAGTGTTTTGTAACATACATAGTAAAGAAAGGGGAGAGAGAGAGAGAGGGGGGACCTCATAATATGCGAATTATAACATCAAAATGAATAAGTATTCTACAAAAAAGACAAAAGATTTGGTCTACAAACACATCATAATACCATAAACATTAAAGCAGAAACACCTGCAACACATAAAATCATTAGTGTGTAAAATATTTATTTTTTTCCCACTTGAAATGTGCAGGAGCCCTCGATTCAATGGTTAAATTTCGTCCCAATAACCTTAAGGTTGAGGGTCTGCACTTTAGGGCAGCCACTTTGTGTAAAATAATGTCAAAAGTTAGGTTTTACGTAATAATATTAATGGGACTACTTATTTATTTATCTTTGAAATGTAAAGAACTAACTGAATCGAGTTGCAACCAGCATATTGAACACAAGTGGACTAAAACTTTAAATGAAAAGACTTGATAGGTAATGCATACACACAAATAAAAGGCAGCATAACAAAAAAAACCAAAGAAAATTTAGGGCAATTTTATGTCATTCACAAGAAAATATATATCGAATTCTGCAAATAACACATAAACATAAACCAACTGCAAAGATAATGATTAGCTATAAACCAACTGCAAAGATAATGATTAGCACATCAATAAAAAGGTACTGGAGCCTTCTAGCAGTAGGACCTGAGAAAGCTCCTGCCACCTGTTAAGCTTCCCAAAATGGCGCAAAATAACATTCAAATCTTGCACTCTCAGCATCCTTCCTGACCTGTAAAGCAGTAAAAACCATTTGTTGTTTAAGCAAGTTAGGGGAGACTAAATGGTAAACTAAATTTTTTCCTTGTATTTAATTTTTGCATAATTCAGTAAAACGAGTACTGAAAAACTGCGGAGATCGACTTAACAGTTGATCAACAGAAGCACCAACTTCGCGTGTCCAACGTATTACTTGCAATACAAACTCAAACAAAAAAGACCCAATTCTCCTACTAGTTACAAAACCCAACTGGGATATCAGCTCAAAAGAATGAACTCAAACGAAAAGACCCAATTCTACTTATAGTAACAAATCCCAATTCGGATATCAGTTTAAATTCTTATTGTGAACAAAATTAAACGAAAAAACCCAAGTCTACTACTATTTACAAGACCCAATTGGTTTATTCACAAAACCAATAAAGTAGCCATCATAAGCAACAATGAAGAGGACAACTTCAGATGTAAAGGACAAATGAACAATAAAGATACCCAGACTTGCAGTAATGAGGAATTGAAGTGAGAAAAAACCTTGCAAGAGCAGAGTCCAAATCAGAGGACTCTTGAATATCAAGAATAGCAGATTGTCTTGCTTTATAGGAAACTGACAGATGATGTCTTGAGCGTGTGGTCGAGGCATTTGTGGGTCTACTGAAAGGCTCACGGAGAATAGTAGATGTGGTAGAAGGAGTAATCGCACCGGTGGATTGAGACTTCTTGTTAGGTCTGGGATTGGAAACCGAGGAGGTTATGGGTGAAGGGCGGGTGAGGATATGCTGAAACCCGTTGCCAAACACACAGGAAGTCTCCATTACTCTCTCTCTCTCTCTCTCTATCTCCTGAGATAAAGAACTGGTGCAGTGGTGCCTGGTGATAAAAACAAAAGAATTGATGAATGGGTGGGGCTATTCCACCCGTATATAACTACGTGTCCCCCTGAGATTAATTATAAATTACTCAGCTCTCAACAAAAATAAAAAAAAATATTTTCATGTGAGATTAATTATAAATACGTGTGCCCCTGAGATTAATTATTTTGAGTCGAATCAATCGCGTTGTGTCATATATTTCGGATTTATGATAATTCATATAATACTATTTAATATTTTTTTAAATTAAAAAATACTTATTAATTGTCTGTAATATTTGTTAAATAACTATTTTTTGTCTACAGTTGTGTTATTTGTATCTGACTTCAATTTGATTGGACAATCAAAAGATTTGTGTCTAATTGTAAACAAAAAATAACTATTTAACGAATATTGTAAGTAAAAAATAGGTATTTTTTAATTATTTTTTAATTTTTAAAATATTTTTTTATTAACTCAAGTATGACAAGTAGATGTTATCATACGATACAATTGAAAGTCATTTAATGAGCATTAATTAATGAAATTTTTTTTAGATCATAAATATAAAATATTTAAACTTTGAAGGGTATAATTTATAATTAGTCCAAACTTTTTTAATTTAGTCGAAGTTAACCCTAGGGGTGTTTGGCAAGTTTGGGGGGGATAAAATTGGTTTGGTTTTTTAATCCAAACCAATCCAATGAAAACCCAAGTCTGAGGGACATGAACAGGATATTAATAAAGTAATGCAATTCAATCCTTCATTTGGGAAGTATTTTTGTATATTATGAGGCCCACGGATAAACTATTATTTTTTGTGTAAATTCTATTACCTTTTACATTAAATTGTAATTTTACCCTTCACTTCTATCCAATTCAAAGTCATTGTTGGGTGAGCCAACATTATTTATTTTGTCCACCTTTAAACTTTACTCCAATTTTCATGTATGTTAAAAAGTGTAAAAATCGAAAATAATTTGGTTTTAATGTTTGCAACACAAATAAATTTTGATCTAATTAATTTGCTCATAAAATTGTCACACATTGTTATAAAAATTAAAAAAATAACCGATATACACGAATCGATAAACACTTCAACATATTTCATTACCACACATAGTTTTATACAAAAGACGAAGCAAAGGAAAGGCAACGTACTACGTAATTATACGTACCTGATATGTTTATATTCTTTGTTGCCTTGAAATATACATACAAAACGAAGGCAACACAAGGAAGTACGAAGCGTGAAGCTACATGCACACACGCTAATGCGTGTTGCATACAAAAAAATGGGTAAGCATACTTACCCAACTGCTACATGCATATATACATTATAACACATACAAATATTATAAGTTATCATTACAACAGACAACCTGACCAATCGCACCCAACATTCAATCATCAATCACTATGATATCACCGTCAAAGTGAGAGTTCACTGACGGTGAACTCCCAACATTGTCACTAGGAGGGTGACTTGAACTTGTTTCATCTTTTTTAAATATAACACCGAAATATTCAAAATTCGGGCATGGTTGAAAACAATGTTGCGAAGCAAAATCATCGTCCTACAATTAATAATATGAAAGTATGTGTTAATGGCCACAATATATATATATGTGAAACATCTTTTCATAATTGACAATAATGTAAAGAAAATTCTAAGAATGAAATAACTTATCTCCAAATACTCAACAGGTCTTCTTCCTAGCCATATTATGACCGACTTCTTCAAAGGGTCTCAGATAAAATTGTCAAAATCAAGCATTGTTGTAATAGTGAAGAATTGTCTTTTCCAGTAGAAAATAATGCGAATAAGTTCAGTAAACGACAATGTAAACCCTCTACAACATCGTTTAACGATGCGCAATAAATCATCCATCATATTATGCGTGTAACAGCCCATAGGAAGTAACTTTCCTTTATTCTTGAATTCTAACAATGTGTCTATAATGACGTCTGTTTCATCCTCCAAAATCTTTGGGATCTTCATTGTCAACTACAACATATAAATTACATATTAATTTGGGTTCAACCGTACATAAGATAAGCCTTATAGTCGACAGTAAATGAATCACATGCATACATTGTATACTCATTCATAGTTACATATATTTAACAATTAATTGTACGGACAAAATCAACTTATTACTATGCAAATATAGTTGATCAAAATGCATAAGATACTAAGGTTTACATAAAACATGTACAAAATTCATTACATATTGTCTTGCCGATAAAAAAATATGTTTGTTGTTCTGGTAATCACTTAAACAAACCTACGATAACCCATTAAAGAGTACACAATATGGGTGAACACGATATCCACAATAAGCATGACTACACTTATCATGCACCAAATTAGATCACGAGTGTATGCGTTTGTTCCAACTGCACGAACATGTGCTTCATCGTTGTTCACAACACCATCGTCAAAGACATTGTCCATAGGTGCAAGGGGATGAAAATCCATCGCATTGGGTACATCGTCAACATTACGTCGTGCATTGTGCATTGCCAATGCTATTTCTGCTTCAGCATACGAATCATAAGATTTGTATAATGCACCTGGATACTTGTTCACATGCGCATAACATTCCACCCATGACTCGTAAATACCAACTTGTCATCCAACGAATACTACATACCAACGTTGCTTCCTATTCATATCTACGTACACAAAAAATGCAACTTATTGTTACTCATAATAAGGTTGGAACATTATTCCACTCAAATATATAGTTGGCCATATTAACAATGTCTCCATCATATATAAATTTACATAAATTAGTTCTATCAAAAACATACACATACTCGAACCAAATAGTTCATACACACCAAAAAATATACCAAAAAAATAGAACTGTTCATGTACTCGAACTACCTCTACAACATTTGTTACATTCACCTTCACAAAAAATCCTAACACATTCTTAGCAAAAAAAAATTTTAGGTGGTGGCCTAGTCGAACGACAAAAACAAGTAATTTTATCAAAGTTGTGGTGGCTGCCACAATAGACCACCAATCCACGCAGGTCGCTCATAATTCGGCAAACTAAAGAAGATGTCAACCTTATTGGGTCAGAACAAATCTTAAAAAGAGCCGCATGGCGATCAACCATAGACAAACCATTGATATTCTCAAGTTCCGCATTCACTCTCCTTCTTGCATCTGCAACATCATGCATGTACTCAACTTGATGTGCAATATTGTCAAGCTGCTTACGGCTCTCTTGAACATATTCACCAAATACCTTGGAGATATCTCCCAAATTTTTTGCAATAGAATCAGATGCATTGCCACTCACCTTAGCTTTTTTTCTCTTATTTGGACATGGTGAGGCAACACTTGATTCCATTGTAGGTGGTTGATCACCTCCATGTGTTGCACTACTTGATGTTGGGACATTCATTCCCAATGGATTTTGTGCTTACATGTTCTCTACTTCCCTTATTGATGTTTCGGCCTCGACATCGCCAACCATGTCTTTAATATCGATAGAAAACTCCCCCGATTGCTCGGTCCTTACCAAATATAATGCCCCCAGTCATTGAAGTAAGACCACGATTTATCTCGCATGTCTTTTGCATTTTGGTCCTTCTACAACATATATGGACAATTTTTATCAACCTTTACAATAATTAAGACTATGGTATTACTTATTAAAATGAAACCTAGTTAAATTGTTGGTTAACGAGGTTCACCTTCAAGTAGTTGTGTCAGATGTCGTCCCCGTCAACTATGATCTTATTATCAGTACTGTTGAACCCAAACCTAGATGTGGCCATTATGGTAAACAGAGAGTTGTAATTCTTCTTCCACATTTTCAACTTTGACTCAATATGGGGAGAAGCCTGTAACTCACAACCTAGAATTGTTACTTTTAAACTGTTTTCAAATGCTTGTAAGTAGTCGGGTCTAAAAGTGTCATTTTGGCACTTCCACCCGTTAACACACAGTTCCTTCAATAACTGCAAGAGCTGATTTTCTTCAGCCATACTCTATGTTCTTCTAACATCTCTTTTTGACTGTGTACTTGCAATTGTGTCTAACATTGCTATCTCTATTGTAAAACACAACAACATGACAATTTATAATTGAAATATAAAAATCCAAATTACGGGTTTAACATGACAATTGGCAATGAAAAACACTTGGTAGTAGCATACAAGATTACGTTGTAACATATTTAGGTCCTCATGTCCCACAATGTCTACATTAATAAAGCCATTAAATTAGTAACCAAGATAAAACACTAAGTATTCCAATTAGGTAATTTTTTCACGACTGCTTCTTCAATCATTGTACATATCTAATGACATCTAATTTTGAAACGTAGACCATTCGGTGGATGTCTCGACAATGTCTATGATATCGTCCGCATGTTCACCATCAACAGTAATTTCTTCTGGCAAATCCTCCTCAAATGGGTCAACGTTCATTTCATTCCTAATTAAGTTATATAACAAACAACATGCAGCTATGATGCTGTTATGAGTGCGCACAGGGTAGTAGCAAGGTGCTATAAGAATCGCTCATCTATTTTTTAGCAAAGCAAAACGTCTCTCAATGCTAGTCCTTGCAGCAGAATGACGCAAATTAAATAATTCTTCAGGATTTCTTAGTGCTGCAGAAGTAGCCCCAAACTCTTGGATATGATATCGCTGACCCCGAAATGGTACTAAAAATCCATTACCATTTGTATAACTCGCATCAACTAGGTAGTACGTGCCTGTGTTTTATAAGAATTTATTTGTTACACGTACCAAAAACATGTAAATTGAGCATACTTATAAAAAAAAAAATATAATATGTTACATATCACGTACTACCTTCAATCCGTTTGGCCTACTAACCGCATCACACAATATCCTAGAATCGGCAGCTGACCCTTCCCATCCAGGAAGCATGTATATGAACTTCATGTTCGGTGCACATACACCCAACACATTGGTTGCTATACCACCTTTACGTGTTCTATATATCTAGGTTGATGGG